AAAAAAAATTATTTATTTATTTTTTTTTTTTTAAATTCACTCTTTGGTGGATTAAGTTCAGCTGTACAATTGTATGTTGTTGTTGTTTTTTATTTGTGCTGCAGTAGTGTTTGCAGGCTCAAGTAAGATAAAGGACTTTTTTTACAAGAGATGCTTCACAAACACATTGTAAGAGACAATTCAAGCCCTTAAGAGTTCATAGACCTAATAGCAAATGAAAGATAGCAAGAGAAACAATGGCAAGGAGGTCTGAAGCAGCTTTCCAGGGCCACACAGCAGAAGAGCAGTGGGTGTAGGCTTGGTAATAAGACAAGTGCTCTGTCCATGAAACTGTAATGCCTTCTTTACTAAACAAATTAGATTTAAAGTATATTCACAGTTCTATAATATTGATCATGTCTGTTCTCACAGAGTCTTAAACTGAGGTTATTAAAGACTTTTGCAGGTAGCAATGGAACTGCTCTGACAATCTTGTTTAAACAGGCAGGATAGTATGAAGCTTAACATGGCACCATTAGCTTCTTTTGTTTTCTGAATGTGAGGGGACTCATACTCTGATATTCATGTTGGGTTTACTGTTTTTGGCATAAACCATCATATCATTATTGATTATTGTATTTTTGTCTGAGAATCTTTCTCATATATTAGTTGTGAATCTTGCTTTTTGTATTAATTTCAATGTTATGATTTTTAGCATTTATAATATATTTTAGTATGCATCTTTACATATGCTAGATTCTTACTGGTATCTTTGATTTGTTAATAACATTTTATCTTATTAGTTCTTAAACACCAGCTATTAAATGAGCTTCAAACTTTCTTTCAGTACATCCATCCTCTTCCTAATTTTTAACATAATTCAACAAAATCTTTGTGTACTTTTATACTTGACCTGCTGGGATCTGCAAGTCCATTCTATCCCCATTTTTTTCCATAGCCCAATATCAAGTTTCAGACATAGATGGAAAATTTGCAATAAATGAAGAACTGAAATGTAGCCCCACTGTCTTTCACAATTAATTAGAGCAGCCCCTGCAGGAGACCCCAGGGAGTATGAAAATCATATGTTTTTGAAATTCCTAGAAATTTAGTTTTCTGTTAAACTAGTACCTTTTAAATGGACAGTCTGAGTATTGATTTCATTGATAAACGATGGCAAGGTGGTTAATGTAAGAAACATGAAGGTTTAGTATAAAAGGAAAAAACTTTCCTTTTGATATCACCATAAGTAGATTTCACCAGAGATCTAATAGACTGCAGGCTTTTTCTCAGCTAATATAGGAGTTTCTTGTGTTTTTCTCCTCTGGAATATTATTCAACCTGGACTATAATATTCAGTAGGCAGTGACTCCACTTGGAGATCAGATGTGCTTTTGGTTTTGGTTTTGTTTGTTTTTATTTTAAAGCAGAAAGATTTTATCAAAAAGAATGTCAAAAGCAGTTTTATGTAAATGACAGATCTGTAATTAATTGCAGCATTTGCAAGCAATGTTTTGTACAGGGAATACTGAATATTCAATACTATTTAATTGTTTATTTAAAATAGCTTAATGAGCTTTGTAAAGTCAGGAAAACACTGAAAAATGCAATTGAGAATGATAAAACTCCTTTGATTATATTTTCTCAATGGCTGTCAACAGCCTCTGAATAAAATGCTGCATGAGATTGTCTTTTTCAATATTGGTGGTGACACAGCTTTTCTGAAAACTGCCCTCCTGCTAGTAGGAAGGGGCCAATACCTCTCTAAGACAGTAGTGGTGCTGGAAGAGGCAGACACATTTATCATGATGGCTGACTATACAGTGTAGAATACATCTATTTAAATGTGCATGAGAGAGGCTGCCTGTTGGGCATGAGAAAAAACATCCTTAGGCTTTTTGAGCCTCCTAATCAAGAAGATGACTACATAATGCTGAGCAGGTACTTAAGAAAACTGTGTTCTCTGTTTTTTCTGTATAGACTATTTTAACAAGATGGTAGCAAATATATCTTTTTGGTTCTGTCCCAGACAGAACCAGATCAGGTTGTGTCCCCTGATTAGTCCTGCTATTGTTAGCCAGAGTAAGAAATTTCTTACCAAACACTGCTTTCTTGAGTATTCATGTGCACAGATTGTAAAGAAAGAAAAAGAAAGCAAAAATAATCATAATTCTGGGAGTGGAACTTTAAACCTCACTTAAAACAAGAATTAGCATCGTCTACAGCATAGTAGAAAAGAATTTTTGAAGCTGATAAAGAATAAGAACTTAGAACAACAAAAAAATAAACCCACAGCAGAAGAAACATTGAACTCCTATCACCCCACTTGTAAAAGATATTTCCACATTTGCTTTGCAGTTCTGCGTAAGCTGTGTTGTTTCTCTTCAATATGCAAGCTGGGACAAACCCATGTTGCTTGTGACCTCAAATTGGTAGTTTCCTCTTTTTCTACATCACTTTTCTTTCTAAAAGGGAACTATAATGTACACTTGTCTTTAACCAAAAAGTATGTAATTAAATACAACATAATCTGTCAAGCAAATAAAGATCTTGCATGTTGGGGAAAAAAAAAAGAAAAAGGAATAGCAGTGGAATAAATCCCACAATTACTAACTGCAAGCACTTTAAAGGCGTCTGTAAGAAAGCTAAGGTTCTGTGCACTATTTTTGAAATAGAATGGTTTGTGGTGGGGTTTTTTGTTTCAATGGTTGTGTTTTGTCTTTTGTTGTTGTTTTTGTTGTTTTGTTGGGGTTTTTTTTGTTTGTTTGGTTTTTTTTCCCCTCAAAGGACTGTTGTCCCACCTCCCCTTGATTCCTTATATCCAAGGACTATTTGAAGTAAATAGAAAATTCCAGATCGAGCATCTTGCTAAAGAGCTCTCTTTCTCAAGAGGTCTTTCATGAAATGTTGTGAAAGTGGAATTGCACAGCACTTGTTAAGCAGGGTAGCTGGTAAATAAATATTTAGCTAAGGGGAGGATTCTTTCAGTGAAATAGAAAGCAGGTGGCTGACTCTTAGAGAGAGCAAGGAGTGAAGTTATACTGGTGATATGGAACAAAGCAAATCCTCTGTAGCAAGCCCTAATTAATTATTTTGTACAGTTTAACATGATAGGACAGGGGAAAAAAAATGGAATTTGTTCAGCTAAGGTACCTATTTCTTCTAAAGAGATACTGTTGAAGCCAATTTAGATCTCATGCTTTTGATTTGTTGAGAGGAAAGTTTTACAGGTCCAGGCTGCTGGTTTTCACTTGGTTGTATCTTCCAATATAAAATTAATGCTAAGATTAAAATCAAATCAAAATATACAATTATTGTGCTTTAAACTATGTAATGATACATTTAATTACAAATTCATTGAAATCTGAGCCTAGACGTAAATTTTTCCTACTGAGGGTAGGAAAAAGCTGTTTAATTTTACTCCTTCCTACTATCCACTACAGTCTTTTTCTAGTAAGCCATTTTCCATCTCTTTGTCTGTATCACAAGGTATTTCTCATCCTTATTCCAAAAACATTTCTGAACAGACACTTGGACTACAGCTCTGTGAAGTGAGAGTTGTAGGCAGGTGCACACTGACATCCCCTTCTGTGTTATTTTTATTGGCTTTTGGATCAAAGAAGAAACGGGAGTTAGTTGGGACATATGGCTGAAGAGTAAGAAATGGGATCTCAGACAGGAGTGCAAGACAGTGCAGTATGGGAGCTTATGGTCTGTACCTAGACTAGCCTGCGCCGTTTGAACGACGCACAAGAGCATCCTGAACAATCAGGCATGGGATTCATTTTAGATACTTTGAACAGTGAAAGTCTCTTCTGAAAATGGTGCACTCTTAAACATCTCTAAACAAACCACTTAGTTTTGCAGTCTTGAATGTTTTTTGAGGATTTGTGCAAGGTTTCTTTGAGAATTCAGATTTCCAGCTGCTGATCAGCTGCAAGCCTTTGTAAGTTCTTTTATTATGCTATTGACAAACTTTTTCTGCAGCATTTGTTCTCTCTCAAAACATAATATTCTACAATAGGAAACAAAAACCTCTGCCTCTCTTCTCTGCCACTGTGATCTGTTCCCTGCATTTAATTTCTAAAAATTGCTGCTATTTTTTTTTTTTTTTTTCCTGAGAGGGAGGGAGACTCCAAGGCTGCTTAAATGACATATGGATAGTTAAAAAATAATTGTACTGACAACCGCCAGGTAGTTTTGAGTGCAATGACAAATAAACCATCTCATAGATCATAGAATCATGGAATAGTTAGGGTTGGAAAGGACCTTAAGATCATCTAGTTCCAACCCCTCTGCCATGGGCAGGGATACCTCACGCTATACCGTGTTGCCCAAGACTCTGTCCAACCTGGCCTTAAACACTGCCAGGGATGGAGCATTTACCGCTTCTATGGGCAACCTGTTCCAGTGCTGAAGAATCATGATAGCTGAATAAAGAAAATGAATTGCTACTTGCATAGGTCATACATCTGAAAAATGAGGAAAAAGAGTTTGTTCCCTGGATTCCTAAATAGGAGCATGGCTACAAGTTCTAAAAGAATAAGGTGGTTTCCAGTATTGTCAGAGACTCCTATTTGGTTGTGTCTGGAAATGATGTCATGTACTGACCTGCTAGATTGTGTGTGTTTGGCCACAATTCTAAAAATTATGGTACTATTTCACAGTGATTTATTAGATCTGCACGTAATAAGGAAAGCATCTCTCAGAAAAGATTTTAAAGTTTGGCTTTGTTACAGGTCAGAATCTCTTCCCGCATTTAACTCTAAAATACTATTTTTATGATATGTGAAAAATTCCAAGTGGTTAGAAAATTATGTTGATTTTTCTTTTTTTTTCTTTTCTTTTTTGTTTTTTAATATATGAACTACCCAAGCATAAAGTAGTCATTCTTGAATTAGCATACAAAGTAACCTTTCTAAGTAGGAGTTTACTGAATACTTTAAGCTTTTATTAATCTTTAACTTTTTTCTACACCTCCCCTGCCCCAGGATGCCTTTGAGATAATGGCTGAAAATTATGAGTTCAAAGAAAATGAAATATTCTGTCTGGAATTTCTGAGGGCAGCTTCTGTGCTGAAATTTCTTCCATTTCCAGTAACCAGAATGAAAGATATACAAGGGTTACCCTGCATGGGAGACAGAGTCAGAGATGTCATCGAGGTAATGTACCTCTGAATTATCTGTCAATTGATTCTTTTACAGATCTAGTTTATCTAGTTTTAGAGGTCACAGAGTTCAGCATTGATATCTGTGTGTATTTACACAACCTACTGTGTCTCCTGCAATAACATAGTGTCTGTGTTACTGAGAACTCGATTTCTGGAAACCTTTTGTAGTAACATAATGTTCTGTCATGGAACTCCTGCCCTTAGGAATAAAGATAACTAATGAATAAATACAAATTAATAAATAATGCAGTACCATCTTTGTATGTAATTTTTAAAGGCTTACTCTGATTTGAATGTGTCAGGTTAACTGGTAATAGTTTTGTTCATATGAATTCTGCCATTGGCAACATCATTTTGCTCACCTGAATGCTTTATTAGAAATACTATTTTTGCAAAACTGATAAATATTTTAGTACTTTAATGTTAAATCCTACCTTGCTATGAGTTATAGTAGAGCCTTTTATGTAGGTGATGGGTGAACTTTCACATTCTTACTGGAGCTTTGAGTATTCCCTGCATTTTTCTTTAATTCTTAGCCTTTTCAGATCCCACACCCCAGTTCTGTTATTTCAGCAGGCAGCTGATCAGGGGATCTCAGCTGTCTGGAGAGGGCATTACTGAGTGTTGTGATTCACCCTGGCTCCTCGTTTGCATCACTTCAGCAGAGCTTCTGAAGTGCTTTTTGTACCTACCACCTAGAGACTGGGAATTCAATTATGATGCCACAGAAAATGTTATGATTTGGGGGGGGGGTTATTGGCTTTTTTGTTTTTGGTTTTTTTTTTTTCTTTCAAAGGCTGAAAGAACTGTATGCACAACAAAAAAGGTATCTGTCCTTACAATGATCTTTTAAGAGAAGTAAATTCAACAAAATAATGAAATCTAATTTTCAGGACAACTCATTGATGGCTCATGATAACTAACTGCTTTCTAGCTGTGAATTTATGACTAAATAAGTCCTGTGAAATATATCCCATGGTGCCAGTTTACTTCATCCTTGAGTAAGTTTATAAGTAAATAAGTACTGTGAAATTTATTTTATGGTTCCAGTTTCTCCTCCATCCTTCAGTAATTGCATTAGGATTTTATCATAATGGAATAAAACAATATGTTTATTAAGGATGCTCTTTATGTTTGTACAGGTTGATAAGATTTTCTTTTAGATTATTTTACTAAGTCTTATTGTAATCTTGATTTTTATTTTTTTTTTAAATAATGTCTTTGTTTAGGAAATTATTGAAGAAGGAGAGAGTTCTAGAGCTAAAGAAGTGTTAAATGATGAACGATACCAGTCATTTAAGGTAAATCTTCTAAAATTTATTGCTGTTTAAAATTTTCCTCCCATTAGTAGAGCTTAGACATAACCATTAATGTTATTACAGAGGAACATATAATATCAAGTATAAAGAAAGAAAGGTCTTGA